ATCATTACCCTAGCACATCTAGCGGTTGAAATTATTGGTAAAACAATAATTTGTGACGTGTCACTAGGGATTGATTCTCATATTCCATTACGTTCTTTTCGGCAAGCAGTTTTTGACTCTGTAAGGTCCGTGCATTGACGAGAGTAATCTCCAATGGTGTAGCCAGCCTGTCTCTAACTCTGTCGACTCTCATATCAAATACACAATTTCATAAAATATTGATAGTTTATTGAAGTCATTACCCTAGCACATCTAGCGGTTAAAACTATTCGTAAAAAAATAGTTTATAACGTGTCACTAGGGATTGGCTCTCATAACCTATCTGGTTATTTAAATATTCATTTTAAAATATAAAGTAACACATATACTCAGACACCAAGTATAGAAAGGAACTACAGTGAAGTAATATTTCAAGTTTAATAATTTGCATAATTTTACAAAAATTAATAAGTAGATAAAAGTCAGTGCTCTCTTTATATATATATCTTTTAAGCAATAAACAATCAAGCTAGCTGGACACAAGGTAAGAAATTATATTTCTAAACATGTCATAAAATTAAGGGTAGACTTAAGATAAATCAAGAATAACTTTTATCGAGGGAATAATAGAATTGTTAAAGGTGGATAATTTGAAAAGTTATTAATAACTACTTTCTCACCATTCGGGTCATAATAGTGCGCGTTCAACGTAGATGTTTTAACTTGTATTATACAACTACATAAAGAAAATAATTCAGCCATTAGGCTTGGCGCCCAACAATTGGACAGTAGCATCTTACATGAACACACATTGTTTCCCATTCATATAGCATGACCAATAAATATTAAGAGTCGTAAAATCCTCCTCCNGTCACTAGGGATTGATTCTCATATTCCATTACGTTCTTTTCGGCAAGCAGTTTTTGACTCTGTAAGGTCCGTGCATCGACGAGAGTAATCTCCGATGGTGTAGCCAGCCTGTCTCTAACTCTGTCGACTCTCATATCAAATACACAATTTCATAAAATATTGATAGTTTATTGAAGTCATTACCCTAGCACATCTAGCGGTTAAAACTATTCGTAAAACAATAGTTTATAACGTGTCACTAGGGATTGGTTCTCATAAGCTATCTGGTTATATAATTTTCCTTATTTTAAAATATAAAGTAACATATATACTCAGACACCAAGTATAGAAAGGAACTACAGTGAAGTAATATTTCAAGTTTAATAATTTGCATAATTTTACAAAAATTAATAAGTAGATAAAAGTCAGTGCTCTCTTTATATATATATTTTTTACGCAATAAACAATCAAGCTAGCTGGACACAAAGTAAGAAATTATATTTCTAAACATGTCATAAAATTAAGGGTAGACTTAAGATAAATCAAGAATAACTTTTATCGAGGGAATAATAGAATTGTTAAAGGTGGATAATTTGAAAAGTTATTAATAACTACTTTCTCACCATTCGGGTCATAATAGTGCGCGTTCAACGTAGATGTTTTAACTTGTATTATACAACTACATAAAGAAAATAATTCAGCCATTAGGCTTGGCGCCCAACAATTGGACAGTAGCATCTTACATGAACACACATTGTTTCCCATTCATAACGCATGACCAATAAATATTAAGAGTCGTAAAATCCTCCTCTAGAATCATTGCACATTCCATTGTAGAATTAATATGACTCAGGTGTGCGTCATACCGAATATAATTTTCCTTCAATTTACTTTTTACGACAAACCACGTGTGGTGGTCTTAATAAAGAGTTCATGGATATATATATTGTATGCTATATTTTCACCTTGTAGCTAAACGTACTTCAACAATCCGTTTACCATAACATCTATATTCTATTATTATTCCTCTTTCTTAATTATAAAAAATATAAATATCACACATATGGCCACTTATTTTATTTCCTTCATCATCCTTCATTATAATAATCTCTCTTCATTCGTTATGTTATTATAATTATATCCATATCTTTTTACCACTCTTTTCTTTTTTATGACAAGTTATACATAATCACGTTACATGGTATTCGTGGACTGGTTCTGCCGTTTCGTTGCCTTAAAGATGTTTTAAAAAACCTAGCGTGATTTTTACTGTATAAGTTAGGCTCTGGTATTCGTGGACTGGCTCTGCCGTCTCGTTGCCTCTCAGTTAGGACATTAGAAACTAACCAGACAAAAGTATATTCACCTCGAATAGAAGCACTACGTCTATTATTTTTATATCTACTTGTCTTTGTCGTTCTAAACACTCGAACCATACGACCCCGATAGAACCACAACATCAGGTTCTCACTATATACAAAAACCCAAGTCCCCATCATTATTTTTATTGTTATCATTTATTTTTATTTTATTAATTTTTGTTATTTGAATTATAACAAAATTACTAAAAAGAAAAGATTGATTTTGTGTTACATAAAATAATTATATATAAATTACAAAACGAAAAATCCAAATAACAAAATTGGTTTTTCTAAATTTGCTGAATTGAAACTTAAATAGTGTATTTTAACCTGGAGAAAATGGTGCTTAATAAATAAAAACAATAATATTAAAAATAGTTCCTTACAATGGTATGTAATATTTTATTTTCGTGTAGAATAAATGCAAAAAATAAAAATTAAGTGTTGAAAATTACGGAGCTTGTGGATTTTCCATAATACGCAAATTGTAAATTTTGTAAGTTCTATAAGAGGCGTTAAAATTATTTCTCCATCATCAAATTTTCACCAAATTTTTAATCTAAAGGTAAGTGCTACGTTAATTTGAAAAAAATTCGTTCAGTCACTTATGTGTAATGAGATGATAAAGTTGTCTATTTTCAGCAAACCACGCGTGTTCGACCATAAAACCGTAAGACCGTAAAACGATACAAAAACAATTATAAATCAATTCAAATATGAAATGGATTACAAGAACATAACTAAATGTTTTTGAAAAGAAAAAAAAATTTTATTAAAATACTTTTGACCTTCAAATTTTGCTATCAAAATACTGCAAATTTAAAAAAATTTAAATCAAAATTTCGATCTAAAAATTTTTAAATTTATAAACTTAGAATGAAATTGAGTACTATTTAATATGAGTAAAACAGTGCTAGTTCAACAGTAATAGCTTATTTGGATGTAAAGTTATAGGCTCAAGAACATAAGGTGTTTTTTCATGTTTTTAATTATAAAAAATGCCCTATCTGGTAAAAAAACAATTAAAAAAAAAAATATTTTTATTGTCAATGACCTTTAAGAAGTTTATGATAAAAATTTCACATGGAATTACCCAAAGGAGTATGCTTGAACCAAAAAACAGTTAATTTAGTTTCAGAAAATGCACCTTGAAGTACGATTTCAAAAATATGATAGCGACATTCTATAAAAATAAATAACATCATATTAAAATTATAGCTATAAAAAATGATAACCAATCAAACCAAAGTAGTTAAAAAGATTTACTCAATTGAGCGTATTATAAAATATGATTATAATTGTAAAACTCCATCGTTAACTTCAGGTGATACTAAAAATCATTTTTTTTTTAAATTTATGATTTATATAGCAACATATTACAAAAAAATTTGGCATATTATAGACTGGTAGTAGCACACACAAATAGAGTTAAAAAATTAATAAATTATAAAGTAAAATTATTTACTTTTGTAGTTGAATACTTTTATCATATCAAATCTAATTCGACAATAAATACTTTAAGAATATTAAAAATTAATGATTTTAATTGTTTGTATGGAAAAAGCTGGTTAAGCTACTTTTTATTTGAATAAGGAATATTTTTTTGATTTTTAAGAGTAATAACTTAAATATCATAAACTTAAATGAATCATTTGACGTATCGTTGAAAAAAGTAGGTCTAGTGAGGGTTGGCAAAATAAATCGTAGCCACAAAAGAACCACATAGTAAAATAATATTAACATGAATATCAATTTCTTCTCACGAGGGGAGACTATAGTGATAAGATCCTTTATATTTATTGAAATTATTGAATCTAAATGAGATAAATATCAAATGATTTGAAAATTCTATTCTAACTCAAAAAAAAAAATGCAAAATTGTAGAAGTCATAGACGGATTTGATCCTCGTACCCTAGGCGTGAAAGATCAAGANGTACCCTAGGCGTTAAAGATCAAGGTGTTACCCATTCGGCAACTATTCGTTGATTTTTGTTGCATGATAAAATTAGCTATTTAAGCTAACTCAAATTTAAAAATTACTTTTTCGACTTTAAAAAAGTAAAAAATGTTAATAAGTATAATATCATATGTCTTATGAACTTTATTCTATGTCAATGAAATTATATAATATTCATGAAAGTCAGTTTATTCCCCTAATAAGATATTTAAAAATTAAATAAAATATAAAACCCAGAATTTTAATAAAAAAATAGCATATTTTTGAATACGGTAGCCTTTTGCGCATAGAAGATAGATCGTCGGGACAAATTTTTTTTTTCATTTACTAGTACATAAAATAAGCTTTAATTTGATATATGTTTGAAGGACGCAGTATATCCGGAACATTTTCAAAAATTAAGTTGAAAAAGTTAGTTTTTGTAAAAAAGTTGCAATTTTAAATCTCCCCCCATGAGCAGCCTAAGTGTTAAATTTTTAAAAAAATTATATCAAATGAAAGAAAATTATCTAAGGTTTTAGTTTAAAAAAAAATTATGTTTATTTGTTGATTTTTGAAAAAGTTATGGAAGTTTTAAGAAAAAAAATGACAAAATTTGTCAATTTTTAAATTTGTAATTTTTTTGGATATTTCCCCCATTTGCGGCGAACGAGGGAAATTTTTTTAATTTTTAAGGGTAATGTCTTCAACTAGATACAATTTGTGATCTTTTGACGTATTGTTAAAAGAAATCGGTCCTGTGAGAGGTGAGAAAAAGTAGTGACAGACACAAAAAAAAAAAAAATAAAAAAATAAACACATCATGGTAAAATTAATACCTTCTCAGCTTCGCATCGAAGCTAAAAAACACATCTTAGTAAAACCAATACCTTCTCAGCTTCGCATCGAAGCTAATAATATTTTTTAATAATCCTTTTTTCATTCTGCATATTAATAAGAATATNATATTTTTTAATAATCCTTTTTTCATTCAGCATATTAATAAGAATATAGCAGATCATGTAGCTTTTGGAATAATCCACCAATTTATTAAAATTAAACACTATCTAAAGATTTGCATCGAAGCGTTTTTTTTTTTATAGTAATTTTAATCACTGTCAGATATCATCTATACTCCACGTCTGCTTTAAAGAATACTTGCACCGTATTCGTTAAGCAGCCGCGCCGACGTGCGACCACTGCTCGGATCACCCAGAAAAGGCTAACAGGGTTCTGCACTTCCTCTTCTAGTACAAGGCGTGGACCCAGGAATGGGACTCTTTGGAGTCCCAACTAGGGTCCACATCCTGAGTCGGGTCCATGGTAGACCTTATACTTGATCCAACTATGTCACGTCACCATTGTGCCGCGACCCTCCTGTGCTGGGTTTTTAACATATAAATATCAAATCAATAATAATTTTAAATCAATTTTTTTGTAGTTTTAATTAATTTTTTTATATTTAAATACTTGATTTTTACTAAAGTAATAATAATCTCAAATAAAATATAATAGAATACATCTAATTGTAGATATGAAATCAGCGCAAAAATTTGGTTTAGCAAAGTATATTTTGGTCTATGATGTTTAAAAAATGATTCATTTAAGTGATGTGATTTTTCTGCGTAATTTTGTATAAAAACGAATTCTAAACTATTATTATTTGTGAAGATATTTAATTTCAAAAATACATATCTTAAATAAACTATTTTTATTTTAAAAAATTGTGAATTTGTTTATTTGAATAGCCAATTTCAAAAAAAATATAGTATAACAGTCGGGACAATATTTTTTTTTATCTTATCTTCATCTTTTTCTTCGCCTTAATTGGTCAAGTAGATGAGTCTACTTGGGATCGGTCACGCCTGTTGTCTCCACGTACATCCATGATGGGACAATTCGCCTAAGTTTCGTTCAGGACTCCACATACTTTTTTACAATTATTTTACGCAACCTCATTAGTCGTTTCTTACGACTGGCCGAGTGGCCTTGGTAGTATTCCTATGCCCTGTTCACAAGGAATTTTTTTTTTTTTATCTTACAGAACATTTTAAAAGTTTTAATTTGATGTAAGTCTGAAGAATGCAGTTGTGCCGGAACATAACTAAAAATTGTGTTAAAATAAATAATTTTCAAAAACCCTTCACCATTGTACTTAGGTTTTTCATTGGATTGTCATAAAAACATAACCGATAACTAAATATGACGGAAAAGAAATTAGACGGATTTGGAATCAGCATCGAAATGCGATAATGAATTTACTAAGATATTGTAGACAACAGAGCATTTTTTATTATTTATTATATAATTCTTATATAATTTTTACAAATGAAATATTTTTAATTAATTAAGGTACATTTAATACAAACGCTCCATCATGATGTAGTCTGCAGCTTCTGTATTTTCGGACAATACAACTATTTGATCATCATCCACCGGATCGTAGCCCAAGTCAACAATCATGTCCTGTTCATGAAGTAACGTTGGCAAAACTTTTTTTTCTCTACTCGAATCTGTAATCAAATGTTCATAAGGCGTGTTCACAAGTTCCATAGTTCTTTTTAAAGTATTAACTTCTCTAGCATATTTATAACAACACATCTTCGCTTCATTTACGTATTGACCTTTTTCACAAACATATTTGTACATATCATTTCCAACCGTTAAAATAATATCTTCACTTTTACTCTGTAAAATTGTTATACTCCAATTTATTAATAATATTTCAAAATTGCTAGTAAAATTATCTTGAGAATCTGTAATCAAAAATGATTAAAAAATTATAAACGTTAATATAATTACTATTTATTGTAATATAACAATAAATCTTCTTATCTAATATTTATTAAATATTTAGTTTGTATAATATTAATTTTTACAAATTATGTTTACTTGAATTTTACATAAAAAATGTCATACCGATTGAGTAGTAGTTAAAAAAATAGTTCAATTTTAATCTATGTAGAAAAGTTAACTTACTTATGATTTCATAATTTACCAAACCACAACTTTTGAAACAATTTAATAAATTCTGCTTTAGCGGCTCAATGATATCGTTGGATTTTACCTGTAAAAATACTCTTAGTCTACATGGAATATTTAGTACTATATTTTTATCATTAAAAATAAGTAACAAAAAAGAGGAAATCTGGAAAAAGTATGAAAAGGTCTATGTCAAATTAATTAATTATTAGAATTTTCTAAGCTTTAAATCTGTAATGTTGAAATGTTACTATACTCTAACTGACTAATAAATAAACTTAGGTTATAAATGAATATTTAGTGTATGAATATAGAAAAATTCAATTTAGAAACTCTTATAATTATATCCACAAACTCTTAATATAAAATTCGAAAATAAAATACCATTTATTCATAAAAACGTGTTTTTAATATAATTGTATAAGATTAATTCATTGTGTTACAATTTTACTCACAAGAGGTAATAAGAAAAAGAAATAAAAATATTTCGTAAACATCATTTTTCTGTCAATCTTAACTTATAAAATAATATTAGAAAAATAACTTTTACGTAATATCCAATTGCTATTTAAAAATGTTTAAACTATTAAAATTGCATTAAATAATTTTTTAATGAATGTAAATAAGATTTGTTCAAATGAAACTACGTCTGTACTTGTCATATATGAATTATTTAAAAAATTATTAAGTACAAATTGCTGCTAACAATAATATAAATTAATAATAATTTTATTTTAAATATTCTTTAACATTGATACTTAATTTTACTATTATAATTACTATTTATCAGAGAGGACGTGGCGTAGTTGGATTTAGTATAGATGATATCTGACAGTGATTAAAATCACTATCATAAAAAACGCTTCAATGCAAATCTGTAGATAGTGATTAATTTAAAAAAATTGATGGATTATTTCAAAAACTACATGATCTACTATTTCCTTATTTATATTTTGATTAAGTTTTATGACTTATAAGTGTAATATATGAATATATATATTCATATATTAAAATATAAATATATAAAGGGAAATGGTCCGATTTAAAAAAAAAGTATGTCGAATGAAAGAAGCATATAAATATTATTTCTCATAAAAAAATTGTGTTGATCCAAACACTTTTCAATAAGTTATAGAATTATAATAAAGTAAAAAATGTAAAATATAAAATCTAAAATTTTCACACAAAAATAGCATTTGGTAGCCATTTTCACCTAGAAGTCAAAATAAAGTCCGAAATTTTTTTTTCCATAATAAAGTATATTACATTACCTTTAATTAAAAATATATATATATATATAAAGTCAGTTTTTTTTGTCCATTAGATTGATATAATATTTATGGAAATCAGTGTAATCCCCTTATAATAAAATAAAATACACAACCAAGAATTTTAACACAAAAATAGCATATTTTTGAATACGGTAGCCATTTTCACCGTGAAGATAAAATAATGTCCGAAATTTTTTTTTTTTTAATATTAAAGTATATTACATAAGCTTTAATTTAAGATATATATAAAAGTGTCAGTATTTCTGGAAATCTTTCAAATGTTAAGTTGAAAAAGTAAATTTTTTGTGAAAAAGTAGTCATTTTGAATCCCTCCCTGTGGGCAGGTATAGGGTCTAATTTATAAAAAAAATATATTAAATGATAAGTAAAGACATCAAGCATTTAAAAAAAAAAATTATATTGATATGTTCATTTTTGAAAAAGTTATGGCAATTTTAAGAAAAAAAAATTGAAAAAATTAATACTTTCTCAGCTTCGCATCGAAGCTAAAATAACTCACAAAGACCCATTAAATAAATATTTAAAATTGGGTTGGGTTTATTATAAAAATAAAATAATTTTTAAATGTTTGAGGTTTAAGATACTAATTGACATTTATTTCCATGATAAGAAAAATAAGCCATCTTTAATGAACAAATAAATTTAAAATGAAAGATTCTTCAAATCTAAATTCACTTTAACTTTACTCTAAGTTCCATTTGATTAAAAAAAAATATGATAAGTCCAAATTAAATAATAAAAAACAACCAAAGAGTGAGAATCTTGAGTAGAGTGTCACATATATTGTGTATTTTGTAATTACGGAAAGCATTAATTTAAATGGGAACAAATGGATTATTATTGTCAGAGGAGGATAGTGCGATCCCCTGAGTGATCTTGAAAGTTGTATATTTTAATTGTTAAATGGTTTAATTGTTAAATTACTTTAAATCTGAGCAATAATCAGATTTAATTCCCTAATTAACTGGTTATTTTGTGTTTTAAAGAAGGGACCCTACTTTGGTGATATTGTAAATTCATAATAAGTGACATACATGTACAAAATATAACATCATATAATATACTAATATAAGTAATAACATAATATTACATTATCAACAAACGCATTTTAGTAAATAAAGAACATTGTGTGATAAAAGCCTTTAAGGAAGTTTACATGTGATGAACTTGTACACATTTTATCAAAGACAATCAATGTGTATGTCTTTGTAGAAAAATAGATATAAAATAAGAAATAGAGTAACGAGAAAAAGTTCACGATAAAGGAAATTGTGAAATCTTTTGATCACATATTGCATTTTAAGTACTGTGTACATGCAATAATATAAAAATAACTATGAACAAATTCATATAAATTCAACCAAAAGAAAAAAGAATATGACGTATTTAAAATGTTTAAATAGATCATTTAATGTTAAATATTGATGTCAGCTAAGCATTTTTCTACGGGTATATTTCATAATCTAAAACTGAACTAATATTTTACAACTTGTAAACGTTTTTCTAAGAATTTTTGTTTAACTTTAATAAAACCCACTTTGATAAAATATCGTAAAAATTAAATAAAATAATAGAAATTCACTTGTTAATTACAAAGTAATTTTTTAGCTTTGACTCACAACTTGTTATTAAAAATATACAACGTTTAATATTTTCTTTTCAAAAATTAATAGTATCCTACTTTCTATGATTTCCATCAAAAATTTTGCCCAATTTGTTCTTAAAATTTCATTATCCCAAGTTTTTTAAATAGAAACTTATACATGTTTATGTATGTTTAATCAAATTAAAAATAGGAAAATTATCTAAGATAATTAGCGGTCGTAAACAGCTTTTAAATTAGTATTTTGGAAGTTGAATTAATATTGAAATGTAGTGACTGGATGTGACATGCAGGTCCGTTTACTTTTAAGCATTTATGAACCGCACTACTCCTCTCACAATAATATAAAAATGCTAATAATATTTTAAAATGCTGGTATAAAAGTTAAATATACTGGTCATTTTTCATTAGATCATTATCATTCTGTATGCTAATTAAGTATAAATTATTCTATTTAAAAGACAAAAGTTGCACAATTTTAAAGAGTGAGGAAGGGATAGAATCAATTGTTTGTAATATCATAGATCCTAGAATATTATCAATTTCTGAGAAGAATAAAGGCGACTCGACAAACACCTTGTACAATAGATTTTTAAACCTACTAAAAAATAATATAAACAATCAAAAATAAATATGGCAATTATATAAATATAACTAAAATTTACAGACATGAAACTGCAGTTATACGAGTTATTTTACTAACAATAAAGTATCACTTTTATCTTACTTTTTTTTTGTAAGTTATGTAAATATTTAGTATTCATGTAAAAAATAGCTTAGCTAAATGTTATTTTTTTGCTGAAATACTAAATAGATTAATCTTTTAAGATTTAAAATTTATGTTTATTATTATTTATTATATTTTAATTACCAAAACTATCCAGTGCCGCAAAATTGTGTATGCTAGGTATGAAAGGAACACAGGCTCAAGCTCTACATTCATTGGAGACACTTTATTTTAAATCTCTTATGAGGTAGGGAGCCATTGGACACTAATAGCTCACGGGTTCCAATAGTTGCGGCACTGTCACTATATTTATATTTATACATTATATTTAAAATTAATTTTGTGCTATAGAATATTTTCGACATATACAGTGATCAAAACTAATACTAACATTAACAGAAATAATTATCCAGCCGTAATGAAGTTGATTCAAATATTTCTTTTAGCGATAGCTTTTATTACAGTAAGTAAGACAAAAAAATGTATATACTTTTAATTTTATAATTTTAAGTTAACTATATGATAAAATAATATTTTGGTGAATTTTTAAAAAATTACAGGTATTATGTAATATAAATGAAAAATTTGACACAGTTGCACAACAAGAGTTAAAAAAATGTTTGAATTATTTTAAAGCTAATCATCTCATCATGGACGACGGTATGATTAATGTTTTAGCTCAATTCGACGCTCTAGTTTAAAACTGCAACAACTAGATAAACATATTTTCCTGTATAATTATTAAAAAAAAAATATGTTCATGTTATCTCGAATGTAAAATTTAATTTTTAAAAATTTCGGAAAATAACTTATCTCTATTAAGTTGGATATTTTTTAAATTTTAGATCATAACTCAAATCAAAATTTTATTAATTTTTGTTGTTCTAAACTATGGCATTGAAGTAATATAATTTTTACTATATGAAATTTATACTCTGTAGTAATCTTAAAAAAGTTAATTTTTATTCTAATATCAATTAGAAAAATTTACAATAATATTATTACAAATATCAATATATATTTAAATAAGTACTTTTTTCTAACATTAGACATTTCAATAATTACATATTAGTTGATCATTGCAAAAAGTCTTGCTAGGATATTGATAAACGATAAACATTGAAAAATTAGCCAATGCTGGAAAAATTACTTATGGTCAGACGATTTTCAAATTTTTATTTTTAACAAAACATCATTCTAGAAAAATTTTTTTAGCTTGCCGTGAACGTTTAAAAATCTTATCAAATATGCTCATCGCCACTAACGTTTATTGATTTAAAATCTAAAATTTAATAGGCCTGCCTAGGAGACATTCCAAAAGTATCCCAAAAATTTCGTTAAAATATGTTCATTTTTGACCGAAATTTTTTTCATTTTTTTCATAATAACGCTTTTTCCGTTTATTTGTCATGTAAAACAAAAGAATTTAAATTTTGAATTTTCCACAAAATTATATATCTACCATAATTATCTATAATATAAAAGTTAAAAAAACAAAATTATTATTTTTCAATTTCTTTAATGATATAACTAATATATAATAAGTAATTAGTAATTATTTCAAAAACTAGATGGGATAATAATTTATTACACAAGAAAATGGCACACCTCTTGAGTAGGGATAAAAAAATTGTTCAATTTTAATCTATTGACATATACTCGATAGCACGAAAAACATAAAAACAAAGTTAAGTTTTAAAAAACACAATAAATTATTACAGAATATTCTACAATACACATATAAAAAAAAACAATAAAATCACGTCTATGATTTCATTATTTACACATTCACTTGTAACCAAACAATTTAATAAGTCCTGCTTTATCTGTTGAACTTGGTCGTTGGATTTTACCTGTAAAACTATTATCAGTCAATGAAATATTCAGTACTACATTTATATAGTATAATATATATATATATATAAAACATAATGCAAGAAAACGGTAAAAAAGTTACTTTACTCATTCAAGTACGAAAAGGTCTATGTAAAATCGATAAAATATAGGAGTTTTCTAAAACTTAAATCTGTAATGTTGAAATGTCATTATATTCAAAATGACTAATTAGTACATTTAGGTTATAAATGAATATTTTGTGTATGAATATCCGAAAGTTCAATTTAGAAACTTTTTAAATAACATTCACAAAATAAAATGACATATATTCACAAAATAGTATTTTTAATAATAATAATAATCGAAAAAAAAAATTCCTTATTCAAATATAAAGTAGCTTAACCAGCTTTTTCTTACAAATAATTATCATTAATCATTAATTTCTAATATTCTTAAGGCGTCTGGGTACCGACCGCTTTTTAGTCAAAAACAACCCGTTTTTAACACGCTTTTATTAGTTTCACGTGTATGTTNCTTATTTTAAAAATTATTTTTAACTTTTTAGTCGATGTGCTTTAAAAGCGTGTTTTTTTAGTTTTTTTAAACTATATTTATTGTTCCATCAGTACAACGGAACTACTGATGCGATAAGAATTCTGAAAACATATCTGAATTCAGCATCATGTCACTTAGGTATCGGTCAGGCCATATTTTTGAAATTTTGATGTTTTTAACCTTTTATTACAGTTTTCATTTTCGAATAATTTTAAAATTTTCAAAATAATTTTTTACGTTGAAGGAATCACAATTTCAAAAAAGTGGTCTGACCGATACCTAAGTGACATGATACTAAATTCAAATTTGTTTTCAGAATTCTTATCGCATTAGTAGTTTTGTCGTACTGATGGAACAAAAACGGGTTGTTTTGTACGCTCAAACTAATGGTTTTCAAGCAGTAGCTGTTTTATGTAACATCCTCGTGAGCGTATGTGCGTTATCCGCAGCAGTTATTTTATTGCCCATTGAGTTGCATAAGACAATACCGACTGCCTAAAAATAGTTACAAATGCATACTTGATATTATACCTATATATATGATATTAGATTATTTGCTTTTATCTTATTTGCAAAGCTATCATTACATAGTAAGAAACAAATTTTGTTGTTGTATTCTTATTTAAGTGTCGCTAAAAAAATGAGGTCATAAAAAACTATCGCTATCAAAAAAAAAAAAATAAAAAATAGAGGTAATATATTAACATTGTATAAGTGTCGTAAAAAAAAAAATCTGGTGAGGTACGTATATATAAAAATAATTTTCATACACTTTCTTAGTTTCGATAGAAAACTGAGAAGGTATTAGTTTTACTATGATGTGTTTTTTACTGGACTGTTATTGTTCAACGATATGCCAAAAGAAAATGAATTTTAAACTACATGCAATAAAAACAGTAAATCATTTTTTTAAAAAAAGGTGGTTAGAATTGAGTGATGATGAGATATAACCTATATTTAATATAATACGAAGTGCTTAGAATTCATGAAGTATAAGTGACATTTCAAAAAAAAAAAAAATGATTTAGGTACACTATCAGACTGAAAATTGATAGTTCTTATTAGTAGAAAAAATGTGTGAATAAAAAACACATTATTGTAAAATCAAGATACCACTTCAGCTACACATGAAAATTAAAAAATAAATACAATATACATTATTTTGGTAGTTTATTTCCAATTCTCAAACTACCATTTTACTTGACATACTTCAAACAAGTAACGAGGAGAATTTAATAAATGAAAGAGTAATTTTTTCACGAAGAAAATTTTTTAAAGAAAGACAAGGTTAAAATATAATTTATTAGAAACAAACATTTTTTTTCTTTAGAAAAATTGGAGATGATAGTTTTTATGATTTTTTACCATTGACACCCAATGCACAAATTCTTGATACTTGTAAAAAAATTTCTTTAGAAGTTAATCAACCAATAATTCAAAAAGAGTTAGTTTATTTTTTATAGTATTATTTTACAATGAAATTAATGCACATATTTAACTAATTTAGGTATAATTAATATTAATAAAGTCGTAGAATAATAAATATTGAATATTTTTTTAATAGTTTGAAATCAATTAAACACGAGTTATTTGCCTGTAATTTTTCAAATCTTGTATTTAAAACTGAAGTTCAAAGGGTTTTTTTTCAGGATTTCACTTTGAATGTAATTTTTGCAAAAAAAAAAAGAAATTATTTATTCAGAGGATCTCAAATTAAATGATTCTTTTAGTATAAATACTGCAGTTGTTACTGCTACTTTGAATACTGGCCAGGGGTTTACAAATTTAGAACAGTTTTCTGTTGTACTAAATATGCTTTGTATGAGTAATAAAACGAATTAAATATATCATTATTAAATTGCTAAGCAAACTGAAAAAACTGCATGGGATTCGATAGAGTTAGCGGGGAAAGAAGAAACTAGGCTTGCTATTGAAAATGGAGAAGTGAATGACAAAGGACTTCCCATTATGGCTTATAAAACTTAAATATTTTAGTGTGTAAATAAAGTAATTTTTTAAATAAAATNGAGAAGTGAATGACAAAGGACTTCCCATTATGGCTTATAAAACTTAAATATTTTAGTGTGTAAATAAAGTAATTTTGTAAATAAAATCTTATAATTAAAATTAGTTTTTTTATAGTTTTATAACTTCAAAATAATCGATGTGGATCTCATATGATTTAACTTGTTTTCTTTAAATATTTAGTTTTTCTTACTCGTCAAAAATAAATAGTTTAATTATTTTTATAATCAATTAAAATTTGTGAAATCATGACGCGTCTATTAGTATTTACATAGATTAAATACATGTGTATTTAATCTATGGTATTTACAGTGAGGCTGGTGCTAAACTATAGTTTTTATACTACATAAAATAAACGTGTGTCGTTATCAATATAATCGAATGCATCAAAAAGTAAGGCAGGTACACAACCGGTTTTGTTATCGACTATAACACGACGAAAATACTCCCAATAATGGACACTCACACTAATAATAATTTATTTCTCACACAACGACACTGCGTAACATGTAAAAACTGCAAAATTGAGGATATTCTGAATAATGGCTAGTAATGAATGCCCAAAAAGATAAGTTCAACAGATAAAGCAGGACTTATTAAATTGTTTGGTTACAAGTAAATGGGTAAATAATGAAATCGTAGACGTGAGTAAGTTTACTTTTCTACATACACCCAAAGAAAAACCTCAATCAATTTTGATAGAGAAATTTTATCAAGGGTTTATGATAATGTTTTATTAATACGAACAAAATAACTATTCTTATAAATAATTATTGTTCAAGACAAGAATAAAAAATATTATATTGATAAATATATCATAGGTTCAATAGTAATGATATATTTATCAAATTGAACAATGAGTTTATTATATAGATCGAGGTTTTTCTCTGGGTGTCGTGTAGTATATATGAATATAGGGGCATCTATTGAAGATGATAAATTCAATATGATTTCAAAAACACTTATTAATACAATTTCAAAAATGTGATGTATACACGGTAAATAAAAAATATCACACCCCAACATTTGCTACAATAATATGCAGGTACTTTTAAGTCTACCTGTATTAGAAGCTGTTGTATCACAACATAATGATTTTACTTTTTCAGTTAAACCCCATTTTTGAATTGCTGCAAAGATAGCTGCTGCTTGACCTTCCCCGAACCAGAAGAAATTTCAGGCATATCAAGTAAATTTGTGTCATATAATAATAATTTAGACAATTATTATATGATANCAAGTAAATTGTCTAAATTATTATTATATGACACAAATTTTTTTCATTCTATTTTCACGTAAACGTTTTCGAAAGTTATTAATTGAGATTTTATTTATAATTAATTCAGATGTATTGAGACTAAATGATTCTGCAGTTGCTATTAATATAAGAACAGCGTCTCTGTCGCTAATTTTGCACTCATCAAATGCAGTGACCAGTTTATCAGTTAATATATTCTTTTTAACTCTAAAATTGGAAATAATAGTTTTTTCAATTAATTCTTCAATCACATCAAACTCGCTAGAACTGTTTGAAGACGAACACAACATTTCTGAGTTAACTACTTAACCTGTAATAATAAACACTTAAACTTACTACATTAAATATATTTTAAGACATTTTTCAATTACCCAACATTCCATTTCACTATATGCTTTTCTTTTTCTTTGAGCTACATTTATATTTTACTTTTGTTGATTGAATTCATATTTTTCATTGAAATTATCGTCATGTAATATACAACCTGACCTTCCCTCTGAGACAATAAAAATTGTTTATCAACTTCCATTTTTAATTAAGTTTTGACACGGTACCGCGCTGCGCTCCAGACTGGCGCTTATCTGCATCTCTCTCGATATAAGCCGTCCACCTATTAATATGATAATCGATTGGCATCTCCCTCTACGCTAATTAATATGTATTACGAATTAAGTAAATGAAAATAAAACGTGTAAAAAATTAGTAGTAAAACATAGTAATAAATGTTCTTACAAATATAATATATATATATTGTGTGGTGATCACCGTAATGATTGCATTACAAGTTAGTTTAAAGCATCAGAATGAACAATACCAGATAAGTCATCAAGTTTATTAACAAACTCTTCTTCATTTTTTATATCTGATGATGACTTTTTAGTCGCGTGTTTTTGTAGTTTCATCCATTCATAGTATAATAATTCAATTTTTTTTTACGTTGTGACATTTTTTTTCTACAGTATTCGGTTTATAAAATAAATCAAGTAATAGTTTCTTCAAAGGTAAAAATAGAATATTTGCAAATTAATTTTTGTTAGGCTAAGTAACAATTTTTCAAAAGTTTTTGTAGATATCTTTTTTATAGAAATATATTACATTAATAAAAAAAATTTTTATAAACTTTTTCATTAAAGTTAATGTTTTTGAGATGAAACTTTGAGGTAAGAAACTACCCTTGGGTATTATTTTTAACCCTTTTCGGCAAGGCATAAGTGGAACAATCATCACCAAATTTTACAAAATTATATTTTTTGGGTACTCAATCAATTATAGGGTAATGACACTTGTATTATTAAAAAAAAACCTATCAATGTAGGATACGGTCACTCTAATATATATATAATTTATGTATATTTAATGTTTTTTTTCTATTACGCTTTTCTCATTGATATAAAAATTGATCATGTAAAACAAACAATTTTTATTATTGAACTTACAAGGTCATAAAAATGGTTTTACTTGACGCATAAGCCCCAAATTTCGCACAACTCGTTTTTAACATAATCAAATTATATAAGCAAAGACAAAAAATGATTTTTCAGTTTTTTATTGTAATTTAATTAATATATAATTTCTAATTATTAATTATTTCAGAAACTAAATATGATGGAAAAGAAATTGGACGGATTTGGAATCAGCGTCGAAATGCCATAAAGAATTTACTAAAATATTGTACAATATTATAGAACACTTTTTTAATATTTATTATATAATTCTTATATAATTTTTACAAAATAAATATTTTTAATTAAATAAAGTACATTTAGTAATAATGCTCCATCTTGATGTGTTCCGCAGCTTCTGTATTTTCAGACAATACAAGTATTTGAAATTCTTTCGTCGGATCGTAGTTCTCTTCNCTTTCGCCGGATCGTAGTTCTCTTCGATAATCATATCATCTTCATGAAGTTTCGTTGGCAAAACTTTTCTTTCGCTACTCAAATCTGTAATCAAATGTTCATAAGGCAAGTCGCAAAGATTCGTAACTTTCTTTAATTCAATAACTTCGTTAATGTATGTATCACAACACGCCCGCACTTCATCTGTGCTTTGACATTTTTGAGAAACATAATCGTACAAAGGATTTCCTAAATCTTTAATAAAATCTTCATCATTATTCTCTAAAATTCTTTTACCCAAAATTTTTAATAATCCCTCAAAAATACCATTAAATTCATTTTGACAAGCTGTAATCAAAAATGATTAAAATATTAAAAGCCTTAATATAATAACTATTTATTATATTACAATAAATCTTCTATTCTAATATTTATTAAATATTTAGTTTGGATAACATTAATTTTTACAGATTATGTTTACTTGAATTTTACATAAAAAATTGCATACCGATTGAGTAGAAGTTAAAAAAATAGTTCAATTTCAATATATGTAGAAAAGTTAACTTACTTATGATTTCATTACTTCTCAAACCACAATTTTTGAAACAATTGAATAACTGCTCCTTTGCATAGTGAAGTGGGTCATCTGATTTTACCTGTAAAACTATTATTAGTCACTGGACTATTCAGTACTACATTATTATCATTAAATATATGTAACATGAATTAGGAAAGCAGGAAAAAGTTTGAAAAGGTCAATGTCAAATTAATTAATTATTAGAGTTCTTTTAAAATTTAAATCTGTAATGTTGAAATGTTACTATACTCTAATTGACTAATGAATAAATTTAAGTTATAATATAATATTTAGTTTATAAATATAGAAAAATTCAATTTAGAAAGTCTTGATATAAAATCCGCAAAATAAAATGTCATTTATTCATAAAAACGTTTTTTTAATATAATTGTATAAGATTAATTCATCGTGTTACAATTTTACTCACAAGAGTTAAAAAGAAAAATAAATAAAAATATTTCATAAACATCATTCTTCTGTCGATCTTAACTTATAAATTAATACTAGAAAAATATATTTAACAGACAATTTTGCTATTTAAGAGTTTTTTACCTTTTAAAAATTTATTAAATCAAATAATAAACAAACATAAATAATAATTGTTCAAATGAAACTACATCTGTATTTGTCATATATGAATCATTTAAAAAATTATTAAGTACAAATTTCTGCTAACAATAATTCAAATTAATAATAATTTTATTTTAAATATTTTTTAGCATTAGATACTTAACATTAATATTATAATTTATCTATCAATAGATGTCTGAGAAAAATTATATAGTCCCTTAGATATATTTAAAATGTGTATAACGATTGGATTTTTATATATTTAAATACTACTAGAACTTATAACTTTTTTAAAATATTGGTAATTTTGAATAATTTAATTTAAATGATAATATAATAACAAAAAAAAAATACAAATAAAAACAATAGATGGCTTCTGCCATTCATCTTGCACAGAGATATGCTTCAGGTTGCTTGAANTGATAATATAATAACAAAAAAAAAATACAAATAAAAACAATAGATGGCTTCTGCCATTCATCTTGCACAGAGATATGCTTCAAGTTGCTTGAACTGAATTGCATTTGGCGGTGTTCATACTAAAATAATAATTATTAGCTCTAATAACTGTTTATAGGTCTGATTGAAATAAAACTACAACCGTTCTTGAATATTCAAATTTGGAATTAATACCTGGAAAGACTTTATGTAAAACATGTTTAAAACGTTTGAAATATTCTACTGATTACTTAAACATGAGTGTATGAGTCTATAGAAGATAATTTAGAAACAAAAAATAACGTTTGTAACAATTTAGGTATATCACCTATTTTATTAAAACACTTAACTATAACTCGCCGACCAGTTATTGAAAAAAAAAGCTGAAGCTATAAGTACTATAGTAAAATCAATTTTTTTCTTGGCTTATGAAATTCTTTCTTCTTCTTCCAATAGCACACATTTTACTTCTAATGGCAATTATGCCGTTAACGAGTATGAGAGTTTGATAAATAACTTAAAAATAAAATTTAATGAAACTAGACAACACATTTTAACGAATTTTAATTCTGTTGCCTAAATCTTGGTCGGTTTCAAAAATTTGTTAAGAGTTTGGTGTCACAGAATACTTTGTGAAAAAGGTAAAAAAATTAGTCCATGTTCATGGTGTTTTATCTGACATTGTCGTTCAAAAACCTTGTCCAGTAATTGATTCGAAAGTAGTTAAAAATGTTTATGACTTGTATCATAATGATGATTATAGCAGAGTATGTCCCGGTATGAAAGACGTCATTAATGCAAGAGATGCTGATGGTAAAAAAATTACTAAAAAGAAAAGATTTATTTTGTGTTACTTAAAATAATTATATATAAATTACAAAATGAAAAATCAAAAATCAAATAACAAAATTGGTTTTTCTAAATTTGCTGAATTGAAACTTAAATAGTGTATTTTATCTGGAGAAAGTGGTGCTTAATAAATAAAAACAATAATTTTAAAAATAGTTGCTTACAATGGTATGTAATATTTTATTTTCGTATAGAATAAATGCAAAAACCCAGCACAGGGGGGTCGAGGCACAGTGGTGCCGTGGTATAATTGGATCAAGTATAATGATATCTGACAGTGATTAAAATCACTATCAAAAATAAACGCTTCGATGCAAATCTTAAGATAGTGTTTAATTTTAAAAAAATTGGTGTTATATTCCAAAAGCTTCATGATCTGCTGGTTCCTTATTAATATCTCGATTAAGACAAAGTATGTCGAATGAAAAAGGGTTTATTAAAAAATATTATTTCTCATAAAAAAATTGTGTGGATCCATACACTTTTCAATAAGTTATAGCATTATAAAGTTAAATATAATATAAAAAATAAAATCGAGAATTTTCACACAAAAATAGCATTCGAAAGCCATTTTCACCATGAAGACAAGTCCAGAGGTCTAATTTTTTTTTTTCAAATTAAAGTATATTACATTAGCATTAATTTAAGATACATATAAAAGTGTCAGACCTTCCGGAACATTTTCAAAAGTTAAGTTGAAAAAGTTAATTTTTTGTGAAAAAGTTGTC